CATGGAGTTATCATCTGCTGAGAATAATATAATTCTACTCCGGGGAGAGGAATAGAGTGTGTGTGTCGCAGGACCCAGGACCTAGCTTGGTCCTTCTCTAGATATCATTATATCTTGCGTTTTGGTTTGAATATCACTCAATCAAGCCCAAGTTCAGTTGAGTATATGCCTATCCATAATATCTCCGATATTTGGCATTCTAGTGGTGTGGTGGATACTAGTGTGACATGAGCTGCGTGAGCTTTGTCTCGGGATTTGCTTGAACTAAGCGATCCCTTCATCGAAATATAACTAGTTACCTTTACTAGATGATGGTGCTGCTATACTAAGTCGTCTGCCTGTTTGTGCACTTCTGTACACCGTATATTTATAGATCCAAAATACTCCATACCAGTTGCCTGCGGAGTACAGGTATCATCGATACACGAAGCATGGACTATTCCGCGCTTTACGAGCTGTCTGATACATGAACACATGCATACACGGTATGGAGTATGGAGTATGGAGCATGGAGTAACTATGGAGTACGGAGCACATTGGAAGGAGATAAATAAGAAATAATCTTCCATCAAGACATGTCGCGACCCATGCGAGAATCGACGATCTATGGCCAATCCCCACCTCCCTCCATGATCTTGTAACTAATTCCAAAAGCTGACAAAGGTTTTACTCAGTCAACATGCACAATCAGAGTACGGTCCAGGATTGAATACCCGACCGAACAAGGCAGGATTTAATTTGAGCTGCATGAAGTATGAGGATGAAAGCAATGACTCTCACATGCACGAATCAGTAATGCCGATAAAGAACGATAATGAAAAAAAAAATGAAAAAAAAAACAACAAAATGCCCTCATTAATTTACCCCTGATTCAGCTCGCGATCGAGATGGCAAGGGTTTAACATCCATAATACCCCATTTGTAAAGAACAAGAGGATTTGTGATGGATCAGCAGCCAAATATAGTTTTTGTAGTATTATACGGAGTACCTCTGTATTTTATTTAATCTTCTAGAAAACAATATACTCCATTCCAAGCGATTGATGTACCAAACCCTGTCCTTATCGCCCCAAGGCAGAGCATGGAACCGAAAAGTCTAAAACAACAAGCAAACAAACAAACAAGAACAACAAGAAGAAGAACAAGAAGGAATCCATCGTTCCGTCGATTGCGATCTGAAACCTTGCCCATCTGCTCTGTTGTCAGCTTAATACTAAATTCCCTGAGAATAACAAGACCTACGTATTAACAGTTATTTATTATACGGAAGCTTGGAACGGACTGGTGGTCAAGAGATGGGCCAAGAGAGAAATGGCGTCACTGATGGAGCCAAAACTTTACCATCCATCTTTTTAACCAACGGTTGTTCCCTCATCCCATATGTCAAGATGCGTATCGCCGAATATGGATAGATAAACTTGGTTTTTCAAAAGAAAGCAAACCCCCACTGGTTTGGGGAGTGACGTGTACCATGGCATCATATTAAACGATGAGCGACTCTGTAGGAAGAGGGAAGAGAAAAAAAACAATCATAGAAAACCTGATCTCTGGAGCTGATCGCCTTTGGATTGCCCCCATTCAGATATATTATGGAGTACGGAGTACAAGCAAGTTCCACGACTGACAATAATTGCACCCATTTCAGCCTATCTATGCACGTCCTTGGGGAAAACAACCAGATCATGTTGCATCGGTATCTTGCATGAATCAGGATACTTTCCGATCCAGTCAACAGGGGGTAGGTGAAAAGCGTAAAATTAGTCGTAATAAGACAATGTCTGGCATTTGCACACACAGCCTTGTATCACCTAACCTCCGGTAATGTACTCCGTATATCTACTCCGTACATACTCCATATCAAAGTGAAGTCTGTATGGTATGCGTAATAATGAGTTACTCCAAGCAAAAGTTGGGTTTGGTTGGCGGCAGGGATGGGATGGTTATCTAGAAGTGCCGATCAAAAAAAAAACCCCTCTCAACTTGTTCATTTCTCCCCTCCAGTGGATTGATTATACTTTGGCTGTGAATTTTTACATCCTGTTTTGGGCATCTTTGTACTCCGTCCTGGACGGAGTTAGACGAAAGTTGAGTTGAGATCTTATTATCGTTATTATACGTGATCTGTTGGATGGTGACGACTGGTCATGGGAAACGGATCGTTTTGGATGGGTAAGTATTTGTTTATGTTTTTTTGTGAACAACAAGCAAGGATCCCTCCATCAGGCTGTGTTCTATTAAAGTTTCTCGGGATTTGCTTAACCCTTTGGTTTCCCTTTTTAGGAATGAATGTATTTGCTTTTTTGTTTTTCAACAGTTTTCCCTCCTCGCCCGTTGTATTGCAGGTATCAGGGAGAACCAACGAGTTAGTTAGCGATGGTTGGTAACTAGTCTCTGGAGCAAGATGTAAGGCATACGGAGTAGAATAGAGTAAAAGGGACCATAGAGCTGGCCTTTAAATAAATAAATAATAGTTGATTTGAATAGAATTAATCTGCTAATACTTTTTGTTAGCTGCAAGTATCAAAGACATATGCTTGACTATTCTCGGGATTTGCAATGTGCTGGCTCTTTTTTTTGGTCATCATTTCATTTTTTTTACTTTCCTCTCTTCTTTTATTTTATTTTATTTTATTTTTTTTTGCACTCTTCCCTCCGTGAATGCAGATCCACCCAGATCCCGGATGGACGGGTCTTATTTATTATACCTTCGTACACGGAACTATTAATCTTATCGAGAGCAAGCTGCCAGGATCATTTCCTCTTTGGGCATACCTCGTGTTCCTCCCGGCAAGTTTTACCGTCAATTCCTGCAGTAGCCATGCCAGATCGGGCTGCATAACACCGAGTAAGTCTAAGCGAAGCAAAACCCTCCTGCACCTCTTTTGATATTGTGAAGGGCTGAAGGAACATGGTGGGTGGGCTGCATCCAGGCAGGTCTTGTCGTGTATGCATGCAGCTTTTGACAGTGCCAATCTCTCGTTGAGGAAATAGACTTTGACAAAATAAATATACCCTTGAACTGAACTGAGCATAATATTCACTGGTAATTGGTCACAATATTTCCATCCACTCCAACACAGCCGCGGGCGGGTTTCCTCATTGATAAAATGGACAAGATGAGAAAAATAAAATGAAAGAAATAATAATTTTAAAATAAAAACAAACCCAAATAAAATAAGACAGGAAGAATAAACGAAAGGTGACAAAACCGCATGCAAAGCATCATCATCATCATAATAATAAGGACGGAGTAGAGTAAACCCCCTATTTGAGCTTTTCCTGAGAAGATTCGAGATCTGCCACGCTCGAAACGCTTCGAACGTCAGCGGCAGTAGGCGCATTAGCGACCTCAACGGGCTCATCATCCAGTCTCTCATTACCGTTCCGACTTGCTCTCCCACCAGTCTTCGGCTGCTCTACTTTCTCCCAGTCGTCTTCACTCTTATCGTCATCTTCTTTAGCCACAATAGTACTATTGTCAGGTGACAGCTTGGCCCTTTTTGGGCCAGGGAGAGTTTCTTCCTTGGTTATCGGATCCGATGTAGGAGCATTAGGTAGGCTGGCTGCAATGGCTTCTGGTGAGTGTGAGCCTTGTGCATTGCTCTCATCCCTTTTGCGACTATCCAGTTGCGAGGTCGATAAGTTGGCTTCGGTGGGTGGGAAGTATACCCTAGAAGAGACGACAATTCGATTAGTTTTCATCAGAGACATAATAGTTATAGTTATATAGGTCTATTGTGAGGGACGGATATCTGTTTAAGAAAGCTTGGGGGACATACGGAAGAAGCGTCTTGTAAGCCCTCACGTCCTTTTCTTCAAATGTACAAAACACCACCTTCTCCAAAATGCTCGAGGAAGCGGAACTTTCCAAGAATTCGCGAACGGTGCGAAGAGCCACGTTCGCGGCGTCAATACTAGGGTACCCGTACACACCGGTACTGAGTGAAGAGAAAGCAATGCTCTTCATCCGACTCTGAGTCGCCAACTCGAGACTGCGACGATAGCAACCTCCCAACAGTGCTTCAGCCCTCTCCACCCCACCACGGATCTTCTCCATGCTATATACTGGGCCAACAGCATGAATGACTTTGCGGCATGGCAATTGGTAGCCATCTGTAATTTTGGCGTCGCCCGTGGGGCAACCCCCCAGGCTACGGCATTCGCGGTGAAGATTTGGGCCAGCAGCTCGATGAATGGCACCATCGACACCACCCCCGCCGAGAAGCGATTGATTTGCTGCGTTCACGATACAGTCCACCTCAAGCTTGGTGATATCGTAGGTGATGTGGCAGATTGTGTCGTTCAGGTGTTGGCTGGGGGTGTTGGTTTGACGTGGGGTAGCTGATGATGCGGCGGCGGCATCGAGATATTGAGTCTTGTAGAGGGTAGACACGGTGGGAAGGCTCACAAATGAGTTTAACGGATGCATGGCTGTCGGCTTCTCTCTCGGATATAGAGCGTGTTCAGCAGTTCAGTCCTGAGTCTTGCTTTCAAGCAGACCGTTTCACTAGTTAACTTGGTGGTGAATGAAGTAACCTTAAGTTAACAAACTTAAGGTGATGCCAGCTTTACCTTGGGTTGATAAAGACGGATGTAGTGTACTAGAATAAATAATTCAACTGCAACAAAATCAAGTACAGCAGCTTTATGACTCTGAGGATAGATAGGAACGATATTTATGATGATGGGATATCCTGTTGCCTGCTGGGACGATTTGGAGATTGGAACAAAAGCGATCCGGAGCTCCCTCAAGTTGGTCTAGCTTTGTGCAATATAGTTGCCTTGCCCAGTAAATTTGATGAAGTGGGGGACTCTTATCTCCATGCCGTGAATACTAATTATCAATTATATCTCCATTCCCTTTCCATTTCCCATCTCTTTCCCATCCCTTTCCCATCCTTTAATCCTGGCTGAGATGTGATTCTCCTCTTTGCTTGTTGGAAGCGAATAAAAACGCGCACAAAATCAAGTGTGGAAAAATTTTCAAACTCAACATCTACTCCTCAATAGTCTAGTGGTTAGGATACCTGCTTGTCACGCAGGTGGCCAGGGTTCGATTCCCTGTTGGGGAGAAAACTATGTTTACTTTTTTTTTGCCGTTTATTTTCTGCTCTCCTAGCTTATAACTATATTCCCGAAGCAAGAATGGAGAGAGTAAGGAGGTTGGTCAGTTGGGCTGTATAGAGTGGGTAGATATTATCTACTGGTACTTCTAAATTCTAACATTCCAATCTCACAATATATCATAAGCATGGCACTAGGCCAGCAAAGCCTGAATCGTACTTTCATGCTACCGACCAGCTTTGAGGTTCTGTTGTATGTCTGTTTCGATAGGAATTGAGTAACCACTAGCAGAGAATTAATATGCAAACCGGATGTGGGAAAATAACTCAAATTGAATAGCGGAGTCGTCACTTCAGATTGCCGTTTACAACTGGCTGCCCATCCACTAGGGCCGCTGCTCCCCGTTCGACCTTGGTGAAACCGTACTATCGGGCAACCATAGCAATAGTCAACCTTGCCTCCAGATTAGCAAGCTCCTGTCCCAAACAGTTCCGTGGCTCTCTCCTGAATGCTCTCCACGCAGTTATGGGGAGCTTATTACGACCATTTTCCTTCTCTTGACTAGCATTGTTAGCTGATATCTAGTCCTCAGAAGCCGTGCTTGACTGGCCGAGCCACCGTTCTGGCATCCAAACATCTGCAGTCTCGCCGTATACCTCTGGGTCCCGTTGCACGAGATAGTGACAGACATAGAGCAGCACCTGGCCATCCACGCATAACGACCCTTCTTTATCTGTAGGTGGAATCCACTTCCTACTGGTGCCAATCGAGCCGAGCCAGCGGGAGGATGGAACCGTAGCGTTTATTTGATGACAGCAGATATGTATTGGAGTTTTGAAAGCTTCTCTCCTCCCCCTTCCAGCAGTGCTTTGGTGACCCAGGCTGGGTCTGCTTTTTGGTCCTAGAACTTCGTCCAGCTCCTTCCGAACCGCTGCGAGTGCATACGGCGTACGCGAGAGTTTGTAGAGCGACCATTGCAATATATATTTAAATACCGACGATGCTTTGGAAATCTGCTCAGCAAGTATGTGGGATTGGATGACGGTGACAGGCGTGTCGAATGGGCGAAGGTCAATGAAGGTCAATGAAGGCTTATGTTTAAAATGACACTGACATCAGTCAAGGGCTTCTTTTTCATAATTTCCCCAGGTAGCTTCAAGTTGCCCCCAGAGAATCGATGTTCAAGGCTGAGGCATGTGGGCATGCTGCTCGAGCCCATGGTATCTCATCTTGCTGTGGAGTTACCATAGTATGCCAGGCACAGCACCAAATAACAAGGCAATCACGTACATCATTCAATGAAGCCTTTGCCGTAGTCAAACCCCTGGATATCAGATTAATGATATTGGGCTATTGGCACCAACAATGACATTCTGCACTGGAATTTTATTTTAACCAAACTGTAGGGTATATATAACTATATATACGTTGGTCGGAAATCAGGCCCAGAGTATGTCCACATTGCTCCTTGATGCCAGGAGGCCATCGATACCTTCTTCATCCATGTTTGTAGGGGGGAACCAGTGGGATTTGATTTAATACTAAGCTAGATTAGCCTCTTAATTGGACAATTTTCGTTCCTCCCATCCATGATCCACGGTGAGGGAAGCTTGGGACTGCGCTGTAGGGCTGATGATTGGTTTAGAATTGATATGTGGCTCTTGTACGGGATACTCTGTGTCAGGAGTAGCTGGGTCCAAGTTGCAAAGAGAGGATTCCAGCTGGGTTGGTTGGTTAGTTTATGATGTAGTTACCTCCACAAATTGAAAAATTGAAGGATTCTGGTAGCCAAAAGCGTAAGTTAATAGTTCCAACAGGCTAGTGATTCCTTCAGGATTTCATCGGGCCAGGCCAGAACAATTATTCCAGAGTCAGAGTGTTAGTTAGGTATTGGCAAGCAAAATTTGTCTTAGTTAGGTCGAGTTTATTTATTACCTTTAGGCGGGTATGGAGCTCTACCAGTATCAGGGTAGGCGCGGTATAGTTGTGAAGGATTGTACTCTATAACTAGTAAAATATAATTAACATGCCCACCCCGAGCCATAATAACATTCGTTTTTTGGTAGTAATATTCTGAAACTATTTAACGTTACCCAAAGGAACTATGTAGCGCTTGCCCTAACTAGCTAAAATGTATGCTTTGACTGGGTCATCTGGTCGTCCTATCTATCGCTCCCGGCTTCCAGGTAAAAATTGGATCATGTTATTAGATTAATTATTATTACTGTTAGTGGATATTAAACATTAAAGTGATATTAAACATTAAGTACCCTGACCTGCATTCAAATTGTCATGAATGCGTTGGATATACCACCTGTGCTGCGCCGCCATTGTGGAACTACCTCTATAGGTACCTAGGTATGTAGTATAGTTATGTCGTTCTTTATACATCGCCCCGATGGATGCTTTTCCGGTTCAAGATTTGATTCGCGTCTTCCGAGCAGTATGACAGGCCTTGCAAGCCTGAAAAAAGAGAACAAAGTGCAAGAATCTAAAAAGGCTTATTAGCAATTTTGTGTTTTTCCCCCTGGGTTCTTTTGACTTGGAGAATTAGGTACCTACCCATCAACTAGGGTCACAGCAATCCCGAAGGTTTCGACACCCTGCAGCGTACGGCCACGGGCACATATATCGTCATCACGGAAACAGCTCCCGTACGCCCCAACATGGACCATGAGTTCGAGACCGATTATCCCTAGCGCTGCGATGGCGAGACTAGAAATAAGATCGAGTGTTATGGGGGCTGGCGGGGGAATGAATGTGTCGAATAGCAAGGTTACTATTAACGACGATATGGACCAAAGAACACCAAAGGCGAGCTAATAGAGTAGACCATAGTTAATATCATTGAGATAGTTATCTAATCAAAGGCAGTCTGGGATTCACTTACGGCACCCAGTGGGAACCCCGGACCTATTGCACCAGACCCGTCGGCATAGAAATCGCCCTTTGGGTCGTGTTCAGTCACAGCAAATGCGAGACAACTGATAGCGACCAGGCCAACCAGAATGGTCAACGCGCGGATAGAAAGTAATCCCTTCCACCGCTGAGACTGGCAAGGATTGACTTCTATGAAGAGCGTCATTTCCGTTTTAGTTATTCGTTCTCTTGGTCTTGTACGGATAATTTACTGGTGCTGAATGGAGTGTAATGGAAGAATAATTCATCCACACAGAGCACTGAACAGTTGAAAAGCCATTATTTATGTCCTTCGAAACATCAGGGGTCTCGTCATCAGCTTGCATCAGTGCAAGCAGTTGTCAGACCTAAGCCTGAAAGCTCTTATTTTAATTGGATGGGAATGCTCGTATAAATGGGGGCGCAGCCTAAGCCTTGCATCAGAACGGCGCGGGGGGAGTGCAAGTGGGGTTGGATACCCTTGGATAGCCCAGTGCTCCATGTAACTTCCTCTATGAAGAGCTGACAAGCTCGCACGATGATATCATGATCTGCACAGGTTCATATTTCTGGGGTTGGCACCAGAGCTCATTACAGCATGAACTCACTGATAGGTAGTAAGCATATGAATTTGATTCAATGGGTTACCTACGTAGTAATTTCTTTATGATTTGTATCTACAGACCAAAAGCAGTGTATACGGGAATGTTCAAAGCAATTGGCTACCAAGATTAACTAGCCGAACAATGATTTGGGCATTGCTCTATCACCATGCGAATAATCACCGACTCGAAGCTCCTATAGAACGAACACCTATCTTAGTCACTCTTTCTCTTGCGGCGACTCGGGAGGGGGAGGGGGGAAGCGCCTCGAGAGGTCGACTGACCTCCGGGGAATACTTGTCAAATGAAGGGATAAAGCAGATGTGTTGTCCGCAGGTTTGTTTGTCCGCGGAATCTAGGGTTTCCAAGTATATCCGACTAACATATGCATTAGATTGGATGCGATGGAATTTTCTTAGAAAGTATTCGATATTTCATATTATAGACATGTTTGAATAACAAGACAGAAAGGCTGGAACCCTACCAGTTATTCTCGCGCAGGTTTCTTGTTCGTGGATACTTGATTGGACGAGGTGAAGAATTCTCTATGGCGCTAGAACCTGCAGTACCATTTGTATTTGAGCTAGTACCGCCCACAAAGTGCCCAAATATATTGCTATTGCTAATAAATGAGCTACTTTTATCGATATCAGCTTTATCAAAGACAAAGGGTTGCCCTTCACCCGGTGTGCTTGTGTCGGAACTTGTGGTGGATGCCGATGCTACCAGTACAGTCGGCTTAGTTGTGGGATTTTTCGCTGCTAACCAAACTCCCATTAACCGTTGGTCCTAGAACAGGATCTAGAAAACATACCAAATAAGGGCTGAGCGCCGATTGACAACCCCATTGGACTAAGGTGACAGAGGCTTCGCAAGCCAGCCTTCAACTTCTCTAGTTCTCCACCCAAGCGTTCTCGTTCCTCGTGGATGTGTGGTGGTTCTATGGCAAGGTCTTTGATCTGTCCATCATCCATGTTGTTTATCGTTTGACTAGTAAAGACTCGCTGTAGAGGATCAAGGAGGCAATTTTCAACACCGAGAATTGCGACGTTGTCAACGAAGGTTAGGATAGCCGTCTAGTTCCGTAACCTCGTTAGCACTGTAAATTGTGGGTGATGAAGAAACAAAAGCTTACATCGTAATATGCTTGCGCCTGGTCGACAATTTCGGCAGCTGCATACTCATCACGGGATGATTCTATATCAACAGTAGCTTGCTCGATAGCTTTCATTGAGAAATTCAATGATCCATCGGTTGGCTGGGCTTTACTGCTTGTGAGATTCCCCTTCAAGGCCTCTAGCAAACGGTCACTTCTTGCTTTTTGTATCTGGGCAAGAAAGCTCCTGCCCACAGGCAGCGGATGGCCGCGTTTTGTATACGCAGTAAGTTCGTCAAGTTTTCTAAGCAACGCTTGTCGCATTTTCTCCAATTCAGGCTCAATGACAGATCCTACCAGTAGGGAGTAAGTATGCTCATTGGTTAAATACTGCATAACGAGGGATACAAAA